AATAATATTGTAATGCCTGTAAAACGGTGTTAGCCTTGGCATTTTTTGGTAGATTCAAATAAACTGAAATCAATTATGTGTTTTTCTTACATCCTGCAGGTAACAAAGAGCCTTTTAAATTGGTTCTTTGTTAAGCCGTTGGTGGAAAAAATGACTCATCTCTTGAGTTGGGTGCTTTCTTTATGCTTGAATGGTTCAGAGGTTAGAGTTAAGTGGTTTAACAAACAAAAAACATTCCCCTGAGAATAGTCAAGCACAAGACTGGACAGAAAATTAGATAAAAGTCAGCCAATGTCTAAACAAAAACGTTAAAAGACCCCCAGAGAGCCTGAAGAAGCATTTTTGAAAAAGAAAAAACAAAGGTTTGTCTCCTCGGATGCAAAATGTGTATAAAGAAATCATGGATCAAAATCTTTGCACTTTATTTTTCAAAGTTTAGTTCCTATATCTGCCCATCTGGCTATAAAGAGGCTTCTAAAACCCCAAACTGTAGTTTATACTGCAGCATAATAACATGGGTGAGGAAATGCATTATTGGTTTGGGTCCATATATCCAGGCCAACAAACTGGTGATATGTATACCAGGTAATTGATTTAATGCGCATCATTTTTAAATTTTAAACACTTTCTCAGCTCCTGTGGTGATCAGCAGTTACTATTACTCAGTATCACTGTTACTGTTTAGGTATAGTCCAATTAATCCAATTTCTAAGCTGCAATCATCAGATGTTTTGCTATCTTGGTACCATTTTCTGATTCATCTCTGCAAAATGATCAGGAGAACATACACAATCCTAATCAGCAGTGGATCTCTCGGGACAACATATTGTGCCAATGTCTTCATGGCAAAAACTAAGACACTGGAGCTCACTATCAAGTCCACTACAAGCTTCGTACCATCCATGGTTAAGATAACCATTTTGCTTGAGTGAGAGCAAAAATATCTTGGTCACCAGCTATGGGCTAGTGCTTGCACTGTGGCATCAAATGTACAGAGAGTCATATTAGGGTTCAAAACCTATATTTCAGTATAAGCCCCAGTCCATCCCATCTATCCATGAACATCATTAAGGGCATGCCTGACCCAGTTTTTACTAAATTTAGAGGATTTTGGTTAGGTGGCTGAGGGCGGGAGGGAAGGATTTTCTGCAGAGGGTGACTTCAATGTGAGCAGAGACTTCTCAAATCTTTTTAGCTAATGGTGCCCATAGTTAACAAGTGAGGAAAACTGATATGTAGTAGTGAAGTTTGCCTTTAGGATTTTCTGGCAGAGGGGCTCTGTGCCAGAAAGGTTTTAAGAAGTCATGTGAGGTAATATAAAGAATAAGGTTTGGAAGAGGAAGCAGTTCTGTTGATCTTTCATCCAGATGACTTTGGTTTGTGTCTCGTTTAACTTAGTTAGCTTATTATTTTTAAGATTTACTCTAATTATTTTCTGTTTTAGTTACAGTTTGGTTGGATGTCAGCCAGGGGCGTAATTTCCACGGGGGTTAGGGGGGTTATGACCCCCCAATAATCAGACCCAAGCAATATAACCCCCCGAATAAAATTATGAATTATCTTGCATAAATAGGCTGTTGATTTTCTTTACTCATTTCAGGTATTACCAGCAAAATAGTTGCAATGTTTAATCATCTGGGAATTTACCCAGATTTATTTATTTATTTATCAGCACAAAGTTACACCGATGATATCAGCACCAGACGGACTTAGTTAGCTGTGGGAAAAATTCATGTTTAGCTTAAATGGATTTAGATGAATATCAGTGCGTGTATTGTTAGCTAGCATGCATGTAATAAACGGTCACAAATGCTTGTGATGGCTTCATTTGTCTCATGCTCAACAGGAAAAAAAACAAACATATATAAACATGATAAAATAGTAAGTGGGGTTAAAATCCATTAACTCCTGCATTTGATTTTACAATATATTCTATTAAAAAATAAAGACGGTAATAGGCAGGTCAAACATATTTTTAATAACAATGTACATAATTTATATCACTCACTGTCATCACTGGAAAGCAGTTAACAGACAACATCTGTTTTACACAATAAGACCGCTCCAGGTGTCATTATACCCACAGGAATAATGCGATTAAATATAAATACACCATCTGCTGAACTGCACACAAACCCTTGACTGGCCGTGTTGTGATTCTTTTTTTTTTTTTTTACAACACTCTCTAATTAAGCAGGTGGAGATTCATACAGTTTACTAAAGAATATCCGCCCACAATGAAAATCCCATTTATGGCCACATCAGCATGCATAAAAAAGTTTTCCCTTTGAAACATTTGATTCATATTTCCCAAAGCATTAATAACAGGTGTGAGTGAAAGAGAGAAAAGGCAGCTAAAAGGTCCAACCTTTGATTTTGGATATATTAGCTGTACAAATACCCTTTGCTTGTGCATTAAAAAAAAAAGAAAAACTTAGATTAGGATGGCAAATATTTGTAGTCTTGAGCTGGACTGGATTTAAGTCTAGCCTAATGTAACCACAGTTTATATTAAACAGGTTTAAACTTAAAGTGCAGCTAGCTAACTGCAAACTTGTGCTAACCCTTTTTGTTTTGAGTCCTTAGCCTTTGTATTGTGGAAAGGCTTGATCCCATCTTGGCTTATCTTCTTGACATGAAATATATTCACTGTTATAAATGTATTTATGTCAACATAACATGCTACTGGTACAAAAAGCACAGACTCCATCCAGAAGGTTATAGCAGTGTAGCGCCTACAGTGTGCTAATGCAGCACTGGATGTTTGTATGTTATTATTATTTTTTATGGGTTTATTTCTTTCAGATTAAAGATTGCATCCTGACACTTTTCTGACACAGTCTTAAATATCTGAATATCTTATTCATAGTGGGCAGTTATTAAGGAATTGATTCCCTATGGTAGTTTCACTTAAGCATACCTGAGAAGATTTGCTAACATTCTAATTACATAAGGGCTTTTGGTCCCTTATTGACAATTTCCTGTCACATTAATCTACATAATTCAATCCTTTGTGAATATTAAAGGGCTGCTACAATTCCAGGTAAACTCATGAGAGCTGGATTAACAATTGAAAAATCAGTGGAGCAGCAGAGGTCCCAATATCCTTTAGTCTGAGTGTGGGAGCATTCCAAACATGCTGGTCAGCAATTCCAATTTGTTTGTTCCTGCAAGGCAAATGAACAGTCTTTGAAACTCTGCACCCTTTGCTTGTAATCCTTGAAATATGTGAAGTATCCTGCCCCAAGCCGATGAAACTCTGATGAAATCATGAAGTTAAATTTTTTCAGTCTTTCGTAAACTCTCAAAAACAAAACCAAATACAAACATCGGCATGCGAAGCAGTTCTGTCAACTGATGCTGATTTTTGAAGGTGATGGAGTTTGCTTTCTGACTATTTAGGGCCCACTGACCTCTATGTTTTATAGATGAAACTGTAGATAAGGGATGGGCAATTCAAACGGTATGATTGGTTGATGATTACAGTTCGAATGTTCTTGTCATTAAAAGAACCTCCTGGCCTTGCCATAAATAACAATGGAAGAATAGTAGAATTTGTCCTTCTTTATGTGTGTATAAACAAATTTAAACAGTTATGGTTATGTGGGAATGAGGCTCAGTGCTATTTTACAGACTAAAAATCATAACCTCCCTCTCTTGTATGGGACTTGCTGTTCACTCAAAGAGTATGAAAGAAACCAAACCTTGTCATGGTCTTTGGCTTGCAGGCAGTTCCATCTGCAGCCAGAAAATAGGTTTATTTATGACATGGCAGACTCAGTCTCAAGGCATGAAATCTGGCTTTACTCTTTTTGCATTAAGCCCAGCATAGAAAACCTCCCAAAATCCAACAGGATTTCTTCAGAGGATAGATTTGTTAAAAAATGCAACAGCCCAGCTCGTCTCTTGCTGCATGGGGAATAGAATCAATAGAGATGTAACATGGTGGCTCCAACCAGTAACTCTGTTAGCTCTCTTTCTATCTTTTCCTTTATCTGAATCGAAGCCATACGATGACTAAACTGGCCCAGAATGACAATGCCGGCCTCAGGGGAGTATCGCAGACCTGAAAGAACACACACAAAAGGCGCCTTTCGCTTTTTCAGTGGGATACTGTAGAAACCGATAAGACTGCAAAGAAGCATTAAAAAGGAACGCTGACATGCAAAGGATTCAAACTATACATAAACAAAAAGAAACTTGTATGCAATATTAATAAGGGGAAATTTTGAGAACATACACGATGGTTTTAAAAAATCCTCAAAGCACATGACTGACGATATTTTCAGTTCTCCAGCAAAGAAGAAAAGCTACATTGTGTCAGTTCATCCCATATTCTGTTTTGCGTGTCCATTTGATCATACTGAAGAAATAAATATATCAAGCTGAATTTTGGTTTAAGCTGTAATAATTTGAAGAGCTTCTTATGTTAGTTTATTGTGTAGTAAGTAGTACATTTCTTACGTACTATTTTCAGCTCTGGCTTTCTGACAGAGCAACAGCGGTATGAAAAAGTGCCCCACCCCCTCGTTTTAACATAAATTAGCTGTAGTGTCTCACATTTTTGGAAAGCTGAGTTTAGTTTCACTTAAATATGACCTGCCTGACAAAGTGGAGTAGACCAAAAAATCCTCAAAAGCCAGACATCATGCAACGATTCATAGAAACTCAGGAACAAATAACAAACAAAGTCATTAAGATCTTTAACTCTGGGAAAGGTTATAAAACCATTTCTAAAGCTGTGGGACTCCAGCAAACCACAGTCAGAGCCATTATTCACAAATGGTGAAAACATGGAACATGGACATGTTTTCACTCTTGTATGCTTTTCATACAAGTTTCACACAAGACAAATGCAAACTTTATAAGATTTATATATATCTTTTCCATATGGGTGGAATGTGGAGAAAAAAGAAATTAAACGTCTTTGTTTATATAAAACAGCAAAAATAGAGAGAATCCCAACAATCAGATGACCCCACCCCTCCATGTGCAAACACTTTGGTGACAGTGGGAAAGAAAAACTCCCTTTTAACAGGAAGAAACCTCCGCCCGAACCAGGCTCAGGGAGGGACGGCCATCTGTCATGACTGCTTAGGGGTGATGGAAGAAAGTGTTTTCTTTATTAATTTTTATGTGATATTGTTGGCTTGCAATAGTTTTAACAGCTTGGCTAATGCTAAGTGAATGCTAAGACAAGGTTGTTGGTCAGTGTAGTGTTGATTGTGTACCAACATTATTATGACAGTCTAGGCAAAACAACAACACAGTGCTATCATGCTGTGCTCTAACCATATTGATGTGTTTTTAGCAGTTTGTGAATCAAGCTAAAGCTACACATAGCTATAAAGACATTTGAGACCTATTCATTATTTGTTTTGGACTGTTCTTCAAACATTTTTTCTATGCAAGAAAATACAGGATATTGCAAGCCATAGCGCTAATTTAGATTCAATCCCATTAAAGACAAAGCTAATAGGCTATATTTGTTCATCAGTTCATGGCAATCCAAGAGATGCAGTGGGGGAACAAACCCATGACTCTGAAAGCTTTTTGCAGAGGAAAACACCAGGTATTAATACGGGATTTGGCAGGAGGAAGAACTCTTAGCTCAGGTATAGCGTGCAATATGAAATATCCAGATCGCTTCAGCAGTACAGATCGTATATCTGATTAATAAAAACTTAAAGGACATTAGATTTAAGCTTTAAATTTAAAGATTACATTAGAAATCTCCTGTTTTATTTTTTTATCTTTTTGAGAATAAATGATTACACATTAACATTTGTTTTTCTTCCCTGGATAAAACTGCAACTGTTCCCTTAACTTGCTGTTAAATTTTGTGCCAAACTCCAAATAAAGTGGTTGCGTATCATAAGCTACATGTTGCTCTGTGTGAAACACTGAATTTGAAATTTGAAAAACTTCTGTACCGCTAGCTAGACGCTGCATCACAGGGATGAGATGGAAAAAAGGATTTTCACTGAGCGGGCTGAATCATGTCACCGCTTTAATCTCGCTATGGACCACCGGATTGCAGAACATGAAAACTGAATTTGCATGAAAGATTTTTTGTTTTTTGTTTTACTAACTACTCATTAAGTGACGAAAAATACTGTGCATCAGTATCAATACCGTGGTGTGAGTAGAAGAAAAATAAGATATTTTTCTGAAAACGGGGAGCTGGCTCTTGCCAGTTTAGACCAGGGGAACTCCAGGCCTCGAGGACTGGTGTCCTGCAGGTTTAGGATGTGTCATTGATCCAACACATCTGATTTAAATGGCTAAATTGCCTCCTCAACATGGCTTGAAGTTCTCCAGAGGCCTGGTAATGAACTAATCATTTGATTCAGGTGTGTTGAACCAGGGTGAGCTCTAAAACCTGCAGGACTGTGGGCCTTCAGGCCTGAAGTACCCCCACCCCTGGTTTACACAGACTAACTAAGAAACACAGATTTGAACTTTGTCATGGGGGGTGATCTCCTAACTCTTTATTCTTTACAGTTTTTGTGATGCAATCACAGACACCTGGCTAGCTTTGCCTGGAAGCAGGTAACAAAGGAAAAAAAATTCACCCACAAGTGACCACAAAGTGCGTCACATGCAGAGCTTTAAAGAGGACCGCCTATCCTTACTCGCCTTTTTCATTTCTTATTTCCCACACCACCAACCGGTCACAGCAAATGGCTACCCCTCACTGAGCCTGATTCTGCTAAAGGTTTTATCAAAAGTGAAGTTTTTTTTTCTTCCCATCATCACCTATTGCTTGATTGTTGTTTCCCCCCCACCCAATACTGTTGGGTAAAAAGTTCCTTGTGGCAGCAATTGTGATTTTGTGCTATACAGATGAACTTGGCCTGGTTGAGCACCTCAGCTCAGATCTCAAAAATAAGCCATTTTTTGCTTCCTTTCCTCGTTTTTTAAGGCAAGTTTCTTATGACTCTTACAGAAAAAAGATGTAAACAGCAGGTTTCTGTAGCTTCTGTGCTCACAGCCAGAGCCATGTGTTTCAGAGAGTGCTGTTTGGGATATCTGACATCAAACTTGGCTCTGTAGAAAAAAAACATGTTTTGAATCCAGGTTAAGACCATGCAGTCTGGAGCTGGATTTTTTGGCTAACAATATCTTTATGACTTGAAAAAGGGGAAAAGAATAATAGAACCAGTTTAAGATGGATTATTGATTTTTATTTTTGGGCATGGCAAGAAGAGTTGAAATTTCTCCTTTTTCCTGTCGTTTTGAAAAGGCTTCTATTTAAGATGGCTTTACATTTAGAGCGCAAAAAAAAAAAAATTGCACCTAGCAGCCAATCTACAACAGCCATTCAATTTCCCATCCATTTGTACAGAAATTGGCCGTAATGCAACCAGAGGGTGCAGCAGGGTTGCTCACAAGAAAGCCTCAACAAGACTGGATGAAGCTAAATGGCTAAAATAGTTATTTACACCTGCTTCTAGACAACGAAAGCACATATTTTATTTTTATTTTCACAAATACACAATCAATAATGTGTCTGCACTGAAATAAAACACTACAAATAACCATTAGTTTTACTTACATGAAAGCTGTTTTTCTAAAAGATGCCAGTATTTTGCTATTTGATGTTATTGGTTGGTAGGAATTCAAGAGAGGAGAAAAGAGGACAAGCATGACTTGAAATTTTGAGTTATTTTGTTGGAATTTTGACTTAACTCTGCAAATCAGGAAGCTGCTTACCCAGAAGCAGATGGCATAGACAAATGCATACTGAAAATCAGGTAGTGATATCATCAATGTGCTACCGAAATGTAGTAAACATGAACAAGCTACTTTTCTGCTAATGCCTGTGAGTCAGCTAATAGCACATTTCATCATTTGTAAAGCCATGCTGAGAGTACTCAGCAGTTTGAACATTTATTTATTTTACTGGGCCATTTTAGCCTTTATTCAATAGTAACAGTGTAAAGAGACAGGAAACTGGGGAGAGAGGGGAAGACATGCAGCAAAGGCTCACGGGTTAGAATCAAACCAGGGTCTACTGCTCTCCCTGGCCATATAGCATATGGTCACCTGCTCATCCCACTAAGCTAACCCGATGCTTGAACATTTGAACATTTATGACAAACAGCAGTAGCGCTGGTAACTCAGCCGAATGCTGCTAGCGTAGTTGTAGCATTGCTAGCTTAGCTATAGCACTGGTAGCTAATGCCTTCCATGTTCTGCTTCCGGATAACATCGAAATGATGGTTAATTTTGGTAAGCACCTCATAGTATAACAGTCATGTTGACTACAGCGCTTCCTGATTAGCAGTTATTTTCTTAAACGTTTTAGCTGATTAACTAAAAATTTTGAGATACATAACACAACATCTTGAGTTATGGATGGCTAAAAAAAAACATTTTCAGTGGCAGAAACAAGCTTCCATACAAACCAGAGCAGATGAGCACACCAGTAAAGAAAAGCAGCTCTTTACGGTGGTTGCAGAAAATCACCACACAATGTACATATTTGGATTACACCTCCTTAGGGCTCCATTAATTTTGGAGTATCTCATGAGCGCTCTTTATAAAACAGGAAATCAAGAGAGTGGGAGTTTAGAAGTTCATAACAGCATTCATGTTTTAGCATTTACAATTTGTCTTCATTTGTAGTCGGTATCTTTTTCTACCTGCTGTTTTGAAGAACAAAACATTTACAGTGCCCTCCAAGAAGGGGTCGCAAGGACCAGCTAAAGACATTGTGTAATATTTTGCCACTTGACCAACGTAAGTACATTGTTTTTTGTTTTTGTTTTTTATGTGTTATTCAAAATCAAACCCTCGATTCCTGTTTTTCCTCCCACTTGTGCGTCAGCAGCATGCACTGTACACCTCTCTCAGTCACCAGGAAATAACAGCTTGACCTGGGCCAGCATGCAGGCTGACCCAGCGCAAGCACAGAAAGCAAGCATGGGAGAAAACCCGAAAAAATATGACGAGTCTGTGTTTTTTGAGACGTTGGTCTCTCTCTGTGCAACAGGAAGTTCTGCAAGTGATGAATATGCATGCGAGGGTGGTGAGGAGGGGGTTCTGTTTTGTACATTGTGTCCAACAGCACTGGTTCCTCCAGGTGTTCATTTAACATAATTGTGTCCGCACATGTTAAAAAACAAAATACTCAAGACATCTTCTCTGTCCTCAGTCTCACTTGTGGTCGAATGGAGTGAAGTGGAGTTCGGGCTCTGCTCCCATCTGTGTCTCCAACTGCTTCTTCTTTTTATGTCCCCTCACAGCTCTCAGTCATATCTGTCAGGGACACACAGGACAGAGCATGGCTATAATTACTGTGGTTGTAAATCCTCTAAAAAAAAACTTGTACATGTACACACACAAACACTTCTCCCTACTTGCACAGTGTGTCCTCTTTGGAAGCAACATGGAGGTAAAAATAGCAAAGAAGCTGTTATCAGCTCCAGCGTGCGTTTACGAAGGTAGTCACAGCTTTTTTCTCTCTTTTTTCAAGTTGCTTAAACAGACATCTTGAGCTCAAAGAAATCATTACAGTGTGATTTAGAGTGCACAGTAAACAGGATTGCCTGGCAGGATCAGATTAGCAGTAAACGGTGTCTACAGTTTCAGTGCCATCATCCCTGGGGTGTTTGGTTTTTGTTCCAAAAGAAAGTTTATCACCGTGCACTATGTATAATCTCTTTAAATGAACTGCGCCTCTGGAATATGGAGCTGAAGCTACAGCTTTTCACAGACAAAATGTGTCCATCCTTATCATTCCTGCAGAATTGTTTGAAAGTCCATGAGGGTACTACGTTTCCAAGATTTGTTTCTATGGGTTATAATTGGTAGTGGAGAATCAGAATCTTGCCTATAGGCACAAAACAACTTAGTTAGGTTTGCAGTTACAAATACAGGCTCTTCATTGCCATGGTCACAATCGTAAACACCAATAAAGGCGTACAACAGACATTGTCAAGTAACTTGGACTATGGAAATAAACAGCATTATCTTGCATTAACTTCCAATGTTTGTCCAACCCATCTATCCAAGAGGGACTATTCATGCTACAATGTCCCTCTGGCCATGTCCGCACGCATCTTTTTCTCTCGCGTCACAGTGTGGACTGCGAAAACTGAGATTTTCGAAAACGATGACACATTTTAGTCATATATGACTAAAACTAAGACGGCGGACGGCATTGTACAGCAGTTTTTTTGTTTGCTCCTAATTTTGTCAGCCCTATTACAGATTAATATCAGTTTGGACATGCTCCAGATAGCTCCAGATAAAACTCGGCACTTGACATTTTGCCACGCCGTTTCAAAGAGCCGGAAAGTAAATAAATGGCAGACGAAAATGATGCAGGTTGAATGGTCTTACATTTGATGCATGCGCAGTACAGGGACATTTTCAGTGTGGATGAAACAACTGAAAATGGTCGCGGAGCGTTTTTAGACGAAAACGCTGTTTTCAAATTTATCAGTGTAGACGTAGCCTTACTCACATCACTGCTTCTGCAGTGAGGATGTGAGATACACGAGGGTTTGTGAGATACACGAGCCAAAACCTCGAAATGAGAAATCTTTTTTTCCCCATAGCCACTCCTGAACCAAGTCAACCCAAGCAATCAAAGAGTTGTTACCAGTAGGTAATGAAAGCAGAGATGAGTAGTCATGCTTATAACACTGGAGCCTCCATTTGTACCTGTACTCACGCCAACAGAAGAACTGCTGTGGCCACATTTTCGATGAAGTGATCTATGGGCTGGTTTTCCGCTTTGCTCTTAGCTTTGTGTTAATATTTAAACACCAAAAGAAAGCACTTGTGTGCATGCTGAGTAGGATAGGGATTTGTGCAAGTGTATTGGGAGGAAGCCTAAGGTATGAGAATGCAAAGCAGATCTCACTTCCTGCTCTGCTTTGGGCCAAATTACTTTGGGCACAATGGGGTGTTGCCAGACACAAACATAATTTATGAGTAATAATAAGAGCCCTCTGCATTACTTCTTCTTCTTCTTCTTTTTTTTTTTACAACAGTATATGACTATTGCTAAGGGAACAACTTTTAAATAGTTAGCTTAACCCCAGCTCCCTTTTTAAAACAAAAATCAATCTTCATAATCTGCTCTGTTGTTATCGTCTTTGCAGCTTTACGTGATGGATTTCAATCTCAGCATCGGAAAGCATAAGGTGTTAAAATAGTCATCTTATTCAAAAGTAAGTGCACATTTATCTGAGTTTAATCAAAAAGGTCAGAGAAATTATGCTAGAGTCTTCACAGGCCTTTTGCAGGCAGAAAATTTCCCGAAAGTCTGACCACAAATCAAGGATGCTGCAGAGAATGCACATCTGAATCCAGATGTGGAGCTCATCAGTAGAGGAGGATTGCCAGAAGAACATCATTAAAAGTAGTTAGGGAAATGTGATCAGAAAGTGTTTTTTTAAGCAAAAGACAAAAAAAGAGCATTAAATAACCACAAAATGTGTGACAGACTCTTCAATAGTAATTTCACATTTGTGCTCCTCAGCACGTACTCACACAGATAAAACAAGTTTGCCACATAACTCAGTCACTACTGAAGCATCCTTGCTTGGAGACAGATAATGAACACACGTGCAGCTAATGAGTTGTGTGATAAGGAGGTTTATGTAGATTATTCACCCATTTTCATAATCCCTCATTTAACTTGAGGTGTGGGGTGGGGAACCTGCACAGGCACACGAACCTGGAAGCTCTATGCAGAGAGACCCCAGTTTACTCCTGTGAGACAACAATATTAACTCTTACACTACTGTAGTCAACAAGTCAACATGACTGTTATACTATGAGGTGCTTACCAAAATTAACCATGGACTATAATCACTCATCATTCATGGGACTGATTCTTTTTATTGTTAAGGCCTAAAAATAAACGGTGTGAAAACAAAGTTGACATCAAGCGATGATGAGCTGCTCCTGATGGGGTTTTTTGTTGGTTTTGCTCCTGATGTTTCAAAGAAAGAAAATTAAGAAACTGAGAATCTGGGTCCATCCAATTTTTCATGAGAAGAGAGAGGGGGAATGTTTTGACCCAGGTCTTGCTGGCAGTGTTGGGAACACATGTGAGGAGGGAGAAATAATTCCAGAGAGCCGATTGACCTGGAGCAGCATCTTGCTGTGTGTCTGAGGTAAAATAATGTTATTTTACCAGTGTTACCTGCAAGTTCTGAGCTCTGACCGCTTGTGCCAAATGCAGTGGTGCAAATACATTCTGCGAGATTACATGGTCGGCGTGAACAGCGGCAGTAAGAATGAGGGGACTCTCATTCTCACTCTCTTTTTAACACATATTTAATAATATTTTTTAAGTCCTGTCTGTGTTAGTTTAGATTTTACATTATATGTGGTACAGTATGACAATGTCTAAGGGAGGACAGGCAGGAAAAAAAACTGCACAGATTTTAGGTGTCTGGTGTGTAAAGGCCTTGACTTTACACAGTATGCATTACACAATACTTTACATTATTTTTGTGTTGTTACTTTAACACAGCCTTGAGATGGATTGTCACATATTTACCATTTAACAAAGTAAACTTTAGGCCATGCAATAGCATAAATCTTGATCCTAATATGGACACACACAAGACCTTTTCCTGGTGTTTTAGTATTAACACAAAGCTGAGTGCAAAGTTGAAAAGCAGCCCAAAGAGCACTTCACAGAGATTGCCAAAGCAATTCCATTGTAGAAACAGGTGCAAACAGGGTACACATGAAACGAGCCTGACTGCTCATCACTGCTTTTGTTACCTGTTTGTCAGGCTCTGACTGCTTGGCCAGGGTCAGCATACACTTCAGCTTCACTGTGTACTGGCTTAGTGCAAAGAGTCCATGTCAGGTTATCAGCAGTTGTTTCAAGGCACACTTTGCTCTTTCTTGTCCTTTTGTGAAATAAAATTACACCGTGTGTAAAAGGTTGTGGACTCCTCCTGAAGTCAGATACCAAGTAACAAATCTTTGCCACTGTGTGATTAAACTGCAGTGTGATTACTGAAAATGACTTTATATGTGCTGTTAAAGAAAAATATAATTACTTTATAGAGATTTACTTCCAACATTGTTGATCAAGATATATATGACTTAATTGGTAGATAAAGGATGACATGAAGTGGGAAGACTAAAGCAGAGCACTGCAGAGAATTCTGGGAGGTGAGGGTTGCATTCGTCACTGAATGCCTTGCCAATCTGATTAATTGCTGTATTACTGATTGTTCCAAATTATTGAATAACTTCAATCACTGCTGCTGTACTAATCAATATATTTTATTTGTGATGTAAACATATAGATTGTACATGCCTCAGCCAAGTCCATAGAGCAACAAGCACATAAGCTCTCGCTAATTGGTCTAGACTCTGAAAATAACACGGAGCTGCCATTACTCATCGTGTGTGCTTTGATATAAGCAGCCCTGCTGGCATTTTGCAAATGGATTAAGACAATTAACAGATGGACTCTCCTTCACCTCACCTTGTTTTTTTAAATTGATCTTGTTTAATTGATCGTGGAGTCATGCACTGTAGTACCAGAGCAACAACTTAATGGCATTACAACAGACAGCATCAGTTCTCTTAAGCACTTTCTACAGCTAAGTGCAACACTACTAGCGGCTTATTGAACACGCTAAATAATCATCATGTTAGCATCACCGCGAGCTTTATTGTTATAGATTGAACATTCATTCCTTTTTGGCCTCAACCTAAAATGTCTTCTCATAGCTCACATTTACCTAAGTCTGCGTTTTACCACGGTCCTCGTTGTTATTCTAATCATATGGATGTGGGTCAGATGCAAATCCATCCATTCGGCATCCGTTCATCTTTTTACAGATTTATTGCGGTTACACACAAGTAGAAAAGCCCATGCAGTTGGTGTTATATATGCCATTCCTAGTATACTGACACAAAGAATCAATTAAATTTGGTCTTTTCTGGGCTGAATAAAGGCATGCTTAAATGATGGGTGGTCCAGAATAATATTATCTGCTATTTTCAGTGTACTTCTAACTTCATTTAAATTATTAAAGTATAGACAGATTGTTTGCAATGGTCTTTTCACTTGTTCCACAGAGACACTCAATGAAGACAAATTCCAGTGCAATAAAAATGACCTTTCCTGTTCGCTACATCTTGATGAACCCAGGCCCTTTGATTAATGAATATTCATCAAAGAGGCTGTGTTTTTCTCAATATCTGCAGACGGTTCCCAAATGTAATCAGTATCTCCCTCGGAAAAAAGAACAAAAGAAATAAAGAAAAAG